GTGTGTGTGTGTGTGTGTGTGTGTGTGTGTGTGTGTGTGTGTGTGTGTGACATCTCTGGTGTTTAATCATGCTCGTGTGTCTTTGATGAGAGAAATGACTGTGATTGCGTCGTTCCGATTAATTTTATGTGTCCGTGGGGAATTGTGAGCTTCATTGTGCTGTAGATCAGCTCTTATTATACAGTAATACAGCTCAAGTAAAAACAATAAAAAGGTACATGGGCCAGTGACGTACAACACAACGTAATCTCCTTCAGTCCACTCGTCCTAAACACAAGTACATTCTCTAGCCCCATCGAGGACATATTGTAAAACGGCTGCAGCTCTTGGCTGTTTTATGAATAAATTCATATTGCACAGTTTACACTGAGCAACCCTCTACCTGAGGAAGTTGTGTATCTACATGTTCATAAAGGCAGATACATCATCAGGCACTTGTTGATTTTGTGTGTGTTGGTATAAAGAATTTTATCTCACAATAAGTGTCTCAGTACTTTATTATTTACACCGCGATCCAAGATACAATCACTGAACAAACTCTGAGCTTTGAAACTGTTCCAGAGGACAAATACTCAGACATTATGGGTAAAAAAAAAAAACTTGATATACCATAGAAATAATCACTGTATCATATTTGCCAGATTATACCAGGTAGCTTGTAGACCAAGTAGCCACATTAAAAAGAAAAAAGTTATAGAATGTCGCTGCAAATAAGATTGTTTTATAACGGTCAATCTTTTTCAATCCTTGATGGTATGATTATTGGGGGGTTATACAGACTGGGTTTGATTTCCCTGTAAATTACGTCCTATTCCAACATTCATAATCTCTCTTGCATTATGTTTAAAATTCTCCACTTGTTAGCACAGTAAATTCAAAGAGCTGCACTATAGTACTCGTTGTTTAAACCTTAGTGTGGGTCGCCTCTTTGAGGGAAAAAACCCTTGAAAGTTTGACATTGCAAACTCAGTTCTATTGTCTTTACATTGTACATGTTGCTTTTGTTGCTGCAGCTCAGTGTTTTCATACTCATCACCTAACATGTCAGTACGTTTTTACATATTACTTTTCATGATGTGGATGTGATGAATACAAACCTTTTAATCTGATGAATGTAAAAAGGTGCAGAAAAAACAGCTCCAGCACATTTTTAGCTCGTGTTGCCAAGATCTTTTTGTATGGAGTTTGCATGTTCTCCCTGTGTTTGTGTGGGTTTGCTCCATGTAGTTGGAGACTCTAAATTGTCCCCTGGTGTGAATGTGAGAGTGAATGGTTGTTTGTCTCTGCATGTCTGCCCTGGCAACCTGTCCAGAGTTGACTCTCGACCAATGGCTCCACCCACAACAAACCAGACTCTCCTTTATTCTCAGAGCCAGCGAGATACTGAATCTATGAAGCCTCAACAGATATGTAGTGATAAATCTCTGCTGCTCAGGCTGATCGAGACATTGCAGGTGTTGTAACAATAATGGTTGCAACACTAACTACATGCTGGGTTTGTGTGTGTGCAGTGAGTTGACATGGCTGAATGTTGTATTGAAGTGTTGTTAGTGTGCCACCGGGGGTACGCTTCCAGATGCTGCAAGAGAACACACTATTTATTCCAAACACAAAAAATAGGTCGAAACCATTTCCACCAAATCTTCGTCTCTAACTCGTGACAAGAAAACAAATCCACATCCCAACATTTCAAAACCAGAAACAAAAACTATAACAGTGCCATCAATATGGAGCCATATGTATTAATAAGCATTGTCCAAAGTGATTAATTGATTGATAGATGGCTCAAACATTATCTCATGTGTCTTTTTCACAATTAAGGTTGGCTGCTAATGGAGTTCCCGGAATCACACGCACACACACACACACACACACACACACA